TTCCAGTCACTTCAACACCAGGCATAGTGCTCATTGTTCATCCACAGCCGCGCCGTCCAGTTATGATCAGGGTATCATGTCCGGAATCATTTCCGAACCCATGTTCCTGGATGCCTTCCCCCAAATGGACAGTGACTTCAAAGACGGTGCTATCCAGGCTTTGGTCGTCGCCATCTACGAAATCGGTTGTCTGCTCGGCTCTTTCCTCATCATCGGCTGTGGTGACAAGCTCGGCCGGAGAAAATCCGTCCTGATCGGCACCATGATCATGCTCATCGGCACCGTCATCCAAACTGCTTCCGTCACCATGGGCATGTTGATCGTCGGCCGCATTGTAACCGGTGTAGGAAACGGCATGAACACTTCGAGTATCCCCGTCTGGCAGTCCGAAATGGCTCCGCCCAAGATTCGTGGTTTCCTCGTGCTGTTCGAAGGTGCCCTGATCACTGGCGGTATCATGGTCAGCTACTGGTGCGTACTCACTGCTCGATTTCTCTGTCGCCTGCAGTCCCGCTGACTCTGACACAGGATCAACTACGGCTTCTGGTTCGTCACGCAGTACGGCTCTTTCCAGTGGCGCTTCCCCATCGCCTTCCAGGCCGTCTTCGGTATTTTGCTCATCCTCGGTGTCCTTGCTTACCCGGAGTCGCCTCGTTGGCTGCTGAAGCACAACAAGGAGGCCGCTGCTCGCGACATCATGGCCCACCTCTACGACAGCACTCCGGATGATGAGAGAATCAACGCCGAGGTCCGGGATATCCAGAAGATCAACGCCATCACCGGTGGCAAGAAGCTCACCGTCAAGGAGTTCTTCAGCAAGGGACCCGAGATGAACCGCTGGCGTGCCACCATTGCCTTTTGCTCTCAGGCATTCCAGCAGATTGGTGGTCTGAACTTGGTCACTTAGTACGTTCTCACTATTCGCAGCTACGAGCCGCTCCAAGATACTAACAGCTCCCAGCTACGCTACCACCGTCTTCGAAGACTCGCTCGGTTTCGATGCTGAGCTCTCCCGCCTAATGACCGGCTGCTTGGGCACTGAGTTCTTCATCGCCGCCCTTGTCGCCCTGTTCATCGTCGACCGCCTAGGCCGCCGTCGCCTCATGCTCTGGGGTGCCATCGGCATGGCCATCTCCCTACTGATCGTCGGTGCTTGCTTGTCAGCCGGCACCAAGCCGCCTGCCTACGTCGCCACCGTCTTCATCTTCGTCTACAACTCGTTCTTCGCCATGGGTTGGCTCGGTGTCACTTGGCTGTATGTCTCCGCACTATTCTTGTGCCCGCTACAATTGATACTGACTGGTACGCAGTTACCCGGCCGAAATTACGCCCATCCGCATCCGTGCCGAAGCTAACGGCCTGTCGACCAGCGCCAACTGGATCTTCAACTACGCCGTCGTCCAGCTCGCCCCCATCATGATCAACAAGATCGCCTGGGAGACGTACTTTGTCTTCATGTGCTTCAACTGGGCCTTCGTCCCCATCGTCTACTTCACCTTTGTCGAGACGAACGGTAAGCACTCCTCTGTCTCCTCGTAATCATCAATGGAACATGCGACTAATAAAATACTCAATAGGCTACCCGCTCGAGAAGATGGACGCCATCTTCGCCGAGGCGTACGAGAAGAACGAGAACCCGGTGTGGACCGAGCGCCGCGTGCGCAAGGGCGAGGTGCTCGACGTCGAGAAGACGATCGAGGACGCCGAGAACATGGCCGAGAACCGCGGCGACGTCCCGCGCCGCAGCCACAGCCAGGATGGCGAAGGTACCAACTCCGACTCGGACTGGGAGAAGAGCAGGAGCAACCAGAAGGAGATGAACTAAGATTGTTCGTCATTTGTGCACAGAGATTGAGGGCGTCTGACCTCAGCATGTTTTACTCTCTTTTGTGAGTAGAACGTCTGTGTTGTAAGCTCTTGTTGGCAGCGTTTTCGGTTGGCGTCGCTTTTCTTTGTTCCTGTTTTTTCATGATACCATGATCGATGTAAAGGTTTGGGTATGGTGGTGGATGCTGTATGAATATTTGATGATACCATGATAGGCTGTACTTTATACGTGTACAAAAGCAATTTTCTCATGACCACACGGTTTCAAAGTCACTGGTGATGTCCTTTCATATGGCAACGACAGCATCTCCGATTGATGGGCAGCTAGTGAGGACCCTGTCAGCACTACTCCTTTGGCTTAATATGAAGGAATTGGGAACCCACTATTGCGGTATAGCCCTAAAAGGGTCTTCGGTGAGAAAAAGCATGTGCTGGTCCGTTCCTGGTAAGGCCTGGGCATAACAGTGGTAAGGATTTCAGCTGAGCGCAGCTTCTGCTCACCGTCTCTTTCGAAACACGCACACCCAACACAAGACACACATTATTCAACCCGCATTAGTTATAGGGATGCTCGGAGGCTGACATACAGACACGCGTCGTCATCGGAACAGTGAGCCGTGGCCATGCAATGGCCTGGAATTAACTGTAGACGAACGAAGATACGTAGCTGCAACAGTCATTGGGCAGATATACAGAATATTTCCCTTTTCCCGCATGAGAAACACATCGCGGGGTCGTGCAGTCCGAGACAAAGTTGGCATTGGGGGTGGGTGTAAGCTGCGCTTGCTCAGTGCGGCCCCACATGCGGACGGTGGGGGTCTGAGCGGAGAGCCGAGAAACCAACGTTGATGGTGGGGTTTCTCTTTCCACGGCCTTCACAAATCGATCCGTTTTTAGGCCTTGTATAATCAACTCCTTGTAGGTGGGGAATGGCTATTACAGGACGATCACCTGACGTAAGTCGAGTCTGCGACGATTCTCTGTCCCTCCCCAAGAACGTGTCACGTTTCTGAAAGCCCTGCATCGTTCGCTTATATCTCGTCAGAATATACATATGACCCACCCTAATCGAAACCTAGCGAACTGGCTTCATGTGAAATGCGGAGAAGCAGACTTGGCATGCAGGCTGAATGCCAGCATTCAGCTCGACGAAGCCACATCCGGAAAGTGGTACAACACGAAAGTAAACAAATCCTCCGCGACCATCTAATTTATTTGGCTTGAGTTGCAGCTTGTCTCTTCGACATCGGTCCCGGCTAAGTCCCTCAACTGATGCTGCTGTCTGTCAAAATGCCTTCTCAATCTTCCATTCCACTGTCTCCTGCGTTGAGCCTGGACCAGTGTAACAAGCAGGAACTGACGGGTGTTTCACTAGCCGGAAAGAATGTAATAATCACAGGCGGTGCCTCTGGCGTAGGCGCCTCGCTTGCAGAGACATATGCGGAGAAGGGGTATGCGATATCCATTTCATCATCAACCTGCACCCATCTTCTCCATTGGTTACACCCGAGATTTGATTGGTCCAGTGCAGCTAAACTGTCCTCACAGGGCCTACGTCAACATTGTCGACATCAACGAAGAGCTCGGCCTGAAGCACGCTGCCTCTCTCCAAGAAAGAGGCTACCAGTGAGCAGCAGCACCTCCTCCATCCTCGGAAGAAATTCACCCTGTTGACATTTCCCTCCCTCCCCCAAAAAGCGCCCAATTCGTCCTCACAGACCTCACCTCCTGGCCCAGCCAGGTCGCCGCCTTCAAGGCCGCCGTCCGCTTCCACCCAGCGCACGTCCTGCACGCCGTCGTCACCTGCGCCGGCCTTCTCGGCTCCCCCTTCATCACACCCGACGAAGAACCCCTCTCACCGTCCACCGCCCTCGACGCCGCCGCCGACATCCCGCCTACCCCCGACACCAGCGCCCTCGCCGTCAACGCCCTCGCCCTGCACTACACAGCCAAGCTAGCCCAACTCTACTTCGAGCTGCCGCCCTCCACCGCCGCCGACGGGACGAATGGCCACACCAACGGCGCCGAAGAAGTCTACCACAAACACCTCACCGTCTTCCTCTCCATGCTGACCTACGTCGACTTCCCGAACTCGGCCGCCTACACCGCGTCCAAGCACGCCGCGCGCGGCCTTTTCCGCATCCTGCGCCCGCTTTTCGCGGCGAGGGGCCACCGCGTGAATGCCGTGGCGCCGTGGTTGACGCGCACACCCATGACGGACGGGTCGAAAGGCGGGAAGGAGGCGCCGGATTTGTGCGGACTGTTTCATGCCGTCGGTTGTCCGGTGGCCGAGGATACGGGGGTGGTGGTAAGGGCGGTGCGGGTGTTGGAGGAGGGGGGTGTGGTTGGTGAGTTTCTTTCTTTTTTTTTTTTTTTTACTTTCTCTTTTCGGTTTGGAGAAGCGGTTGGCTAACGGATCTGTTTGTTGCAGGGAGAGTTCTTGGTGCGGGACCGGATCGGGTTTGGGATTTGAAGGATGATTTCGAGGGGCGCGATGGGGCCGAGGGGACGGAGTACTTCCACCGGGAGGTGTTGCCGGGGTGGTATGACTATGCGGAGAAGATGCGTCTCTTGATTGAAGGCGAAGGACCAAAGGCTTGAGAATGGGTGTTCAGAAGACGGATATCATTTTTGGTGAGATTGTGGATAGGTCACCATAGAACCGAATAAATGTCTATCTAGCGATATCCAGGCAGGGAGAAACGATAATAAGTGATTGATTTTTTCACATAATGGTAACCTCCCTTGTCTCTGCAGAAGGTGGACACAAGGGCCGTGTTCGACAAAACTAACCCGGCGATATGTGGAAGAGGCCTCATAGACACATCTTAGCGCTAAACCCAGATTTTCAATACCGAACAGGGCATGCAAAATCACCAACACTACCACTTGATCTCCACGTTGAAGTCTGTGTTCCATTTTGCCGTGGTGTTGGGATGGGGACAACTTCGAAAACATGTATGTTGTAGGAAATGCACAATCTATTTCGTGGTAACTTGTCTCTGGTCTGTACGATGTCACAATATACTGGTGAGTTTTCAGGACGAAGTTGGAGATGTGAGGAACGCCTCGGGCAGAAAGGACTTTTTTTTGGTGCTTGCACACCATTTATGTCAATAAGGTTATCTCGTCCCTTACATTCAACCACACAAGAAAGACTTAAGTGAGTTTCTTTTACCTTGTCAATCTAGACGTCAAACAATTGTTAGCAATATTGCATCATGGGGCTAAAAAAGTGACACTGCCTCAATGCGACCAATGAGGATGGGAAGGATTCGCTCACCCCGACAATTTTCGGCATCGGCCTTAATTGTTTGTCAGCCAGTACCGCACGCCACATTCTTCTATTTGTCAGCTCACCTCCGCATTTCGGTATCGATTATTGGTAGCTCCGGCTTGTTTTCCGCAATGCTGCATATATAAATGTGAGGTAGTCATGCTGAACTCAAAGCTAAGAACTGACTTATCCCAGAACCATGAGCCATTCAGTCCTTTTGATCTTGGGCGCAGGACCAAACATTGGTCAGAACACGGCAGATGCATTTGCTGCAAGGGGCTACAAAGTAGCTCTTGTGGCTCGAGGAAAGGAGGACGGCTGGGGTCCAAATGGCGAACTCGAGCTCCGAGGAGACCTCTCAGACCCAGAAACAATCCCCAGAGTCTTCAAACGAGTCACGTCGGAATTCGGACACCCGAGTGTTGTCATCTATAACGGTGCGTGCATGTTTATGTGATGGTGCAACCGGTCTCAGCTAAAGATGGACTACAGGGGCGGCCCGCACCGTCTTGCCGGAAAATGACCCCCTCCAGGATTTCTCGCTGGAGAGCTTCAATAAGGACATGAATGTTAACGTCACCAGTGCTGCATTGGCGGCACATCATGCTGTTCTGGGCTTCAAAGAGCTTCCAGCAGACACAACGAAAGTGTTCTTTTTCACCGGGAACAAGTTGCCCGTCTTGTCCCTTCCTCAGGTTCTGTCATTCGGTATGGGCAAGTCTGCAGCTGCGCACATGATCTGGGACTTGAGCAACGTGTATCGGAGTAGGGGTTTCAAGTAAGCCATCCATTCTCCTAGATAGCATTCCTTTTCTGATAATGACTTTCAGGTTCTACTTCACCGACGAGAGAACTGAGGAAGGTAAGCCGGCGATGATGGAACGAAGTGGGCCGGCACATGCGGAGGTTTACGTGCGCCTTGCCGAGAAACAGGAGCAAGGGCCATGGTACTACACCTTTGTGAAAGATCAGGGTTATGTTGATTTCTCGGAAATTGACAGGCGTGGACTGACAAATTAGAAATGTGCAATGGCGGTCATTGACTGAGCTCCTTTCAGAGAGCTTCGGTAAGATGTAGATTTGGAAATCACTTTGCTGCAACTATTCCCTTTGGTAGTTTCTCGGCGTGATTTCCCGTTTTAAATGCTTACATGCGAAGTAGTCTGGACCTCTTCGTCTGTTGATGATTTGTCGATGGCAAAATACTTTTTACTTTTAAACCGGAAGTTAGCTTTAACTACATATAACACGAGCGAAAACAAATCCACGCTGGCCTTCGGCTGCAAATAAACCCCCGGTACATTTTCCAGCGGCTTTCTGCCGTACGAAGTCGGTTCGCTCAGTTACGACACGAGCGTCCTGGCGACAACTTTGACTACCACAATTTTGTTTACATATAAATCAAACTAAATTAGTGTTTAGTATTCCTTTTTATTCTGACGCAGTGCTCAGGCCAAGCTCGCGTGGATGGCCGTGGCGTTACGAAACTCCACATTATTCAGGCTCCTTCGCGACTAGTGGATCTACAACCTTAAATCCTTCCCGAACAACGTCGAACAAAATTCAGGACGCAGAGGTATGTGTCAGGAATGATACGGATTTGAGGAAGCTACACTCGAGGTGTTGATTCTTCTTTATCAACGCGCAAAATGCTGAGTTTTGCAGGTAGGGCGACTGAGACACGCGACGGCACAGCACCAGCGTTTAGCGAGTTCTTCCTCAAGTCAAGACAAAAAGAAAGTGACATGAATGGCCCGGCACCGAGCCGAAGACATCAAGCGGGAAAAGTTCCGACAAGCGCGGGATGATTCATCGAACCGGGAAGAGCTCCGCTTCATTTTGGCGCAGCATTAGCTGGGGGCCCATAATTCACTCCCGAACTGCTTTATACGCCAATCGCACCAATGAGTTAGCAACGCTGACGGGAGGTTCTTCACAGGGCAGGGTCGTTCGACTGGCGCACCTTTCTAATCTTTTGCACTTTCTTCCCATATTTAGGGTTTCCATTTGCTGGGGAAGTGCTCAGCCGCCTGTTCTGCAGTCACCATGTGGTGACAACGATAACGACATTGGGGCTATTTCTGTCTGCCTATCACGTCTGAGAAGTGCCTGGCCGGCCCACCATTTATTCATGGATTGGCAGGGCGGAGGGCGCTGATCTTTCCCTGGCTTTCAAAAGTTGCTGCCGCCCATGACTCGGCGTTATCTGCGAGCTTGCCACCAGTCAAGGATGGCTTGCTGTGCCACATTTGCACTATTTACGGTGGCTTGCATACCCAAAGGTTTCTGCAAACGATGCTCCAAAGGCTCTACTCAGTTCCTCAAGGACGAAACCAGTGAGTATTGGAGACCCTCTCGATATTTCGCTACAGTGATTAGTTGGCCACCAGGCAGTCTGAACGCGACGATTGCGGCGAAGATTGCGGCACAGTTGAGAGTGGATTATCGCCGATCAGCAACGGTCTGGGGATGGAGTGTCTAGAATTAGCGAAGTCTTTGTGGGCAGTGATCATCACACAATTTACCGCTGAGGACTTGAAAGAGCTTAGTGGCCGTGACAGTGGAGTTTGAACTTGCCAATTAAGCCCAGTGTCCCCTGTTGGCCTTTGGCGTTCTGCAAATCTGACGGGTCAACCAGGAATTCGGTGGCATGATTTGAACCGTGTGCAGTGTGTATCTTTGCACACGGGACAACATCGCAACACTGCACTTTGGCGCCCACAGATCAATTTAGTATAGAACAACCCTTGCGCACTATTTTTGTGAAGATCTAGACATTCAACTAGAAAAAGCGTCGCGAGCGAGCGAGACATAAACAGTCAGCGTGCCGTGTTTGCAATCTCTCAAGCACGCACCCCAAACTTCCTACCGCCATGGCCTCATCGTTATCCTCCTTGACATCGAGTCAACAGGATACGCCGGAGTACTATGGCGTTTACACTGGAATGTGGACCAATTGGTCTCGCGGGAGGGTCCTTGGGTCCACCATAACTCTTTCACAGAGAGATGGCACTCTCCTCATCGCCTTCACAGCGTTCTTCATTACCCTTGTCAGCACTTCGTTCTGGAGAATAGCTTGTTTTGCTTTCCACACCAGATTCTCGACGGCAAGCGCTCGCGATGGACTGCACCATCAACGACAAGCTTTATTACGCAACTCGGCCAATGGCGCCAGCGGCCTGGCCAGCCTACTGCTAGTTCTTTGGTCATGGAGGGGCGGGAAGAACGAGGCCAAGCACGCGTACTCGCGGCTCTTGCCCCTTATCATATTCACCACAGTCACTCTCGTGCTCTTTGCAATCGCCTCCGGCTTCTCGTCGACCATCTCGAGCGGCATGGGGAGCGAGGTGCTGGTCTCCAGCGATCGCTGTGGGATAACCACTTCGGGCAACAATGACACTTTCTTCAACATCGCAAATTCGTACGTCGCCCAGGGCGCTTCCACCGCTTTCATCTACGCACAACAGTGCTACTCCAACACGTCGAACCCAGGGAAGTGCGGGACGTACGTCAAGCCAAGGCTTCCAGTGACAGTCGAATACAACGTCAGCTGCCCTTTCTCCGACGAGATGTGCTACACTCAGGACGGAAACATCCGCTTCGACTCGGGTTTGCTTGACAGCCTCGACGACTTTGGAGTCAATACGAGGCCCAACTTGAGGTTCCAGTATAGGCAGATGATGGAATGTGCGCCCTTGAACACGACAAAGTTCCAAGTCACGCACAACTACTCGGACGGCGGAACCCGAGAGCTCTACAGGCAGTTCTGGCTGGGCCACAGGAACACGTCGTCAGAGGTCGTCTACGAGCACAGGGAGTTGCTTGACAGCCAAATCAACCGCACCGCGCAATCATACGAACTGAAGTAGCCAACACCGCCCCACGCATACAGCACTCGCTAACATGGCCCTCCAGTGCCAACAAAGCCTACTCAATGAACAACTCGTACGACATCCCATGGACCGATTTCTATCCCATCGACGAGCTGCGGGCCCCGTACGCCGACGTATCGCTCTTCTTCCTCGCGGCCAACGGCATCCAGTTCCGCAACGCAACCGACGACCCGTGGTTCTCGGCGCACCGCACGGGAGCCGACCCGGGAGAGTACAGCTCGGGATTCGTGCTCGACCAAGTCTTCCTCCAGGACGATCCAGCGTCAGTAGTCGGTTGCGTACACCGAGAGCAGTTGTGTAACCCGAACATGCCCGACGGCAGCGACAAGTGCACGCCGCTGAGCTCGGGCGTTGACAACGCAATCGTCTACCCGAGCATTGCGCGCGACGAGGCCGAGGTGAAAGCGCTCAACTGGTTCCGAATCATAACGACGATGGGGTGGTCCGATGTGTATACCCTGATCAACGTGCTGGGCGTGTCGGCGCTGAACGCGCGGCAGAAGGTGCGCTGGGGGCTGCAGGGCGCGCTGCCCGACAACCAGTGGCAGATAGAGGTCGAGTCTTGGTTCAACATGGCCATGGCCGGCCTCCAGATGTCGTACCACGAGGTCGCCACCGGCCCGTCGAATCCCGACGTTCCCAAGTTGTCGGATGATCTTGGAGGCATGTTCTGCCATAACCAGGTATGTCTTCTTCTTCTTCTTCTTTGCCGTGGCTGGATTGCTGCTCTCCCCCTTTTTTGCCATTTACAGAACACCTCAAGAACGCCACACCCACTAACCCCTTCTTCCCCCCACAGAAAATGCGCAGCACCGCCTACACCAACATCTCGACGCTCGGCCTCGCCCTGATCTTCGGGCTGGGCGGCTTCATCATCGTGCTCTCCTACACCATCGAGCCCATCACGGCCTGCATCCAGACGCGGCGGCGCAGCGACCACTACTCGCGGCTCGAGTGGGTGGCCAACGACGTGCTGCAGCTGCAGCGGCTGGCGCATGAGGAGCTCGGGCTCGGCGGCGTGTGGCGCAACTGCGCGGGCGCGGTGCCAACGACGGAGCGGCCCGACGACCAGCTCGGCGTGCTCGACGTGTCGGACCCCGAGCATCCGCGGCTGAGGGTGCTGGCTGAGGTGTTCGAGGAGGAAAAGAGGGGCGCGGAGGAGGAGGAAGAAGAGCGGAGGCGGCGGCAACAGGAGGATGAGAGGAAGAAGAATGGCGGGGTGCGGGCGAATGATGAGAGGGAGGTGTCGGAGATCTCGGTGTCGCCGACGCTGACGGATGGCGGGGATTGGTCCTCGCAGGATGAGCGGCCGCGGGAGCAGAGGCGGGGGAGTTCTTGAGGCACGGCGTGCCTCTGTTTTTGGAACTGTGAACTTTGAGATGGGAGGTAAGGCGCAGCGCACCGCGGCATGATTTATGATTACACGATCTCGTCTTGCTATTGCTGGTTTTGGACAGGGTATCTGGATATTTGCTCTTGTCCAGAGCAATAGCGTCCACCCTTTTTTAGGAATACCCAACTTGTTCGTCTCTTGTCAGCCGTTCTACTGCCTTGAGGCCGAAGTCTAACATACCATTCTCACATCGTACAGTGATTTCCTCTGAACCGACCCTTACATCTGCCCACTTTTCTCATCCCGATGCAGCCCTCTCTCCTCATCACCACCTCTTATCCGCTTCTCGTCCAGCATGCACGACATCCGCTGCCCAGCAGCCTCATTCCAACCCTTCTTCCGCATCCACCTCCCCATAACCACGAACCCAAACACAACCAGCACAAGCACCGCATCAAACAACACTCCTTCCAATCCCTCCCGTCCCACCTCCCCACAGCGCCTTCCCGTCCCCTCTTCCAGCGCCAGCAACCCCGCAACATCCACAGCTGGAGGCCCCCTCCACCCCTCCCCATCGTCCCACACCGCCCGCCGCTCCATCAACCGCACCTCTTCTATCCATCCGCCGCCGAACCGCTCCCCATGGCCACCCGCAAGCACGGCATCGACTTGGACCACGCGCTGCGCTGGATCTGCGTTCAGCAGCAGGAGGGGCGAGCGAGTTTGCCGGGAGGGGCAGACGCGGCGGGGCAGGAGGTAGGGGAGGAGCCAGCTGCGAGCGCAGAAGGAGCTTTTGTCGATGGACTGCTGCTGTGCGGCGGCGACAACGTCGACGGTTATGGAGAGGGCGGTGGTGTCGGCTGGGGAAGGCGAGATGGTGGTTTGTACGGCCAGGTTGTAGCGGAGGCCCTGGTCATGTCGGGCGTGGTGGTCGGAGAGGGACCAGAGGTCGGAGGCATTGAGGTGAGTGTTGGTGGGGATGTGGAGGGCGGAGATGCGTGATGTCGCGGGAGTCGCGTGCGGGTTCAGGGCGTGCTGGTTGAGGGAGATGGTCTGAGCGCTGTTATCGTCGGCGGCGGTGAGGTCGAGGTCAAAGCGCAATAGGAAGAAGGACGGCTGTTGTTCTTCAGAGGTAGTCGGTGGTGAGGTGGCAGGGTTCCCGATGGGGAAAGAGCGGCCCGAAATCGGAAGGAGCACCATGACGGACGGCTCATCGGGAGACCAGTGAACGAGGCTGTTGGCGAGGACGGTTTGCGAAAAGTGGTCGTGTATCGCCTCAGCTTCTTGCCGTAGGAGTCCGTTAAGGTTCAGGCTCTCGGCGACGTCTTGCAGCGCCATGTTGACTTGGCTTTTGCGGATCGCCGTGGTTGGCACGTGCGACATTGTTCGTAGCCGGTTTAGACATTGTCGAATGCTCGATGTGGCGGCTTTGATGTATCTGTGATGCGTATGGAGGCCTGCGAGGTCTCGAGAGAGTCGCCGGCTTATTTCCGAGAGCTGATGGACGGCCTCGGCTTCGGCAGGCATGTCCGAGGTGGTGTTTGATGATATTAGTGACATGTTGTGGGGAAAAAAAATTTGATGCGGCGAAAAAAAGCCATGCAGCGGCAGAGCACAGGATAAAAGAGTAATCAGGGGCACCCAGGGTTAATATCCACGCTGGTGGGGTGGTTGAGCGCCCGGAAGGAAGCGGCTTAGCGGGGGCCGAGTAGTGCGATAGGGCAGGGGCAATATACCAAAAAGGAGAGAAGGATTCAAGTCTTGTCTCTTCGAAAATTGCCGACACAACCGGACGCTGCTATTCCTGTGGTCCGGTCCCTTCGTTAATCCATCTCGCCATCTGCTACCTTTTCCAGCAAGCTCGTGTTTGATCTGCAGCACCCTGGTCATCAATTTTTTCTTCAAGCGCGCATCAACTTCGCAGGCGCCTGGAAAGCGCTTTGCAGTCGGCTTTGAGGATACGGTGTCAGATTGAGCGAGCAATGACGAAGATGACCGACGCCTAGAGGCAAGGGGTCCGAGCAACTGCGCCAATGTTGTGCCACTGAAGCCGGAAGTAGCACCGATAGAAGCAGGCGCATTTCCCCGCATGACCCGCAAAACCCGAATCCCACAACTCTTAAGCTCCCGCAACGCTAGCTCCTTCAAGTAATACCCTGAGATTCAACGGCACGCTAACAGCCCAATAACCACTGCACGCCATGGTTAAGGATTTGCAATAGTGCATCTTGTCACACTTCAAGGGCGTGAACAACTCTGATGTCTCTGCCTCCCACTTCAGTTGCCTCAGTCACACACTCGCTTCAGCCACCAATTTGCCATGAATAAGAAACAATTGATTTTTCTCTTGCTTTCTCTTTCCCGTCCCACCTCAGCTGTCGTGGTCGTGCCCCAGCAGAGTCCCTTCCCACTTGTGGACACATCTCCGACCGAACTCATCGCATCGTCATTACCACCGCCGCTGCCGCCGCCGCCATCGCACGACCCTGCCTCCATCACTTCCTCGGAAACCGCCAACCCAACCAACACAACAGATACCACCATTCCCGCCACCTTCTCGTCCTCCTCGTCCCTGTCGTCCACCATACCCGCCGCTGCGTCGTACACGTTCCCGTCGCACACATCCAAGCCCGCGCCCACATTCTCGCCATCAACGAAGCCTGCAGCGTCCAGGTGGTGGGCCGCAGACCCTCGTCCGGCGGTGCCCTTGCCCACAACCCTCACCACCGCGCCCAGCCCCAGTCCCAGCACCACCACCGCCTCCCCCGCCTCAACCACAACCTCGACCAACACCACCACCACATCCTCAACCGCATCCCCACCCCCGCCGCCTCCGCCACCTCCACCTCCTCCTCCACCACCCCCCGCCCCCGACCCTCTCCCGCCCAGCTCCTCACCCTACTGCCTCCCACCAGCCACCCGCTGCGACCTCTTCTTCACGCACCCGGAGCTGCCGCACCTGACCTTCCACATCCACACGCCGTGGACGATAAGCTACCCGGACCAGCTGGGCCGCGGCCTGCGCGCGCGCCACTACAACACGGTCGTCAACGTCACAGCGCTGCGGGGCACGTGCGGCTGGCGCATGCTGGACGACGTCGGGCTAGCGGCCGTGGCGCGGGGGAAGGTGGCGGTGAGGTGGGATGAGGGGTACAACGACGAGGGCGGGATGAAGGGGAAGAAGAAGGGAGATGGAGGGAAACATCACGGGCCGGGTGGGAATGACGGGAAAGGGGATGAAGAAGGGGAGGATGGTGATGGTGCGAATATGGGAGAGGAGGACGGAGACGAGTGGTGGCAGGAAGGGGAGGATACGGTCAAAGCTGCCGTCGGGGCGCTGGCTGGGACAAAGGCCGAGATACGCAAGGTGCTGGAGCGTACGTATCCATGGGTAGAGATCTTCTTGATTCTCATTCTCACACTTTGGCCGGTGTGCATTATCGCGGCACTGGGCGGCTGGGCGATTGTGAGCATGGTGTGTTGTGGGAGGATATTGTAACGGACGGGATGATAGGTTTGAAGACGCTAAATTGTAACGGGAGGCAGGCATATAACAAACGGTTTGACACAATTGTATAGGCAGAAGTATAACGGGCGGCCGAGACAATCAACCAGGGGAGAAGTATTTTGTTCAACGGTATTCAAGCCGGGTATCAGTGTATTCATTAATAGCTATCTACAAACCATCTCAAATGCCACACAGATCCTTTCACGCATTGGTCCCCTCCTCCACCCTCCCAAACCAAAACAACACAAACCCCGCACAAACCGCCTGCCCGTGCTCCAGCCACGCCGCATCCCCCTCCCTCGCCAGCCTCCCCAACTCCCGCAGTTCCCCCGTCAACGCCATCTCCGCCTCGGGCGCCACCTCCGCCATCCACAGCAGAAACTGTTCCAGCTCTTCCAATAGCTGTTGACTACTACTGTTCTCTCCTCCTTCTCCCCGCTGCCGCACGCCTGCGTACACCACCCTCGCCGAACACCTCGCCCGCACCCGATAGAACCCGGCCACGTCGCCCGCCCGCGCGCAGCTGCCCAGCTCGCGCAGGTGCGGATGCGTCAGCCCCACGTGCGCCCTCCGGTCCGTCGTCCACGCCCACTTGAACCAGTCGATCGTCTGCCGGAGGAGAGTGGCTTGGGGTTTGGGCAGGGCGCCGGCGAGGGCGGTGAGGGATGAGGATGAGGATGATCCGTCGCCGGCGGTGGTGAGGGCGGATGGGAGGGGTTGGGGTGGCGGAAATGATGAGGATGGGGGTGGGGATGCGGCTGCGGTGGTGGTGGTGCTGCTGCTGCGGTGGTTGTGGCGTGTTGTTGTGCTGGTGTTGTCGAAGCGGACTTGTTTCGAAGGGCGAGGGGCTGGAGGTAAGGAGGCGTTGGTTAGTCGCCGATAACTGGAGGAGCGTGAGGGGGAGGGCTTACCTTTGCTTGCGGTCTTTGACTTGAGACGAGATTTTTGGGCTTTTCTGTCCTTTGTGGAGGTGGCGGCCGTTTCCAGGTCATCGTCACCCAGCTCGTCATCTGAGGGAGGTTTGGTACGTTTGTACGCCGGGGGAGCGATCTGGTCTACGATCTCGGACGAAGCTTGGCCCTTGGACACCGCAATGGGACTTTCAAGCTCGGAAAGTGGCTGGAGGGAGGTAGATGCAGAGTGACGGCCCTCAGATGATCTCCGAAAAACTGGAGGAGCGCTCCACTGCCGTCTCCTTTCTGGAGGCGTGTTGGTTGGTGCGATGCTAAAAGACTGTGCAGCCCGCGGTGCAGGGTGGGCTGTGGCAGCGCTTGCAGCTGGTGGTGGAGGGGAGACGGCTTCTTGGTAGGTTGGTGGAATGCTGCCTTGCCGTTCCTCCGCCCGAGCCTCATTCTGCTGTGAGGCTTTCGGCTGGTTGTCCTTTTCCACAGACTGTAGTACGGCTTGCTCCTGTACCTCAGTGACGGTAGCTTGCTTCTCGCCGGACGATGGTCCCTTGGCTGAAGCGGACTCCGACGGCACACCCTGACCCTCGGCAATTGAGATCGGCTCCTGCACGATGGACCATTCCGCCGGCTTGTCCGCGCGAGAAGGACCTGACGTCTCTTCTTGATCTGAGCAAAAAATGAAATTCTCCCATGCATTAACTTCGCCGCCTTTGCCGTGATAGAGGGTGTGAAGCTCGCGGGGCCGTGACTGCAGATCCCCGTGCTGCACCATCCAACAGAGCGTTTCGAGACGGCTAATGGACAGGGAACTCTGAGGCACGTAGGCGCTGAACTTGGTCGCTTGGGAGAGCGACTTCAAGGCGAGTAGCACTTCCTGATTGACGGCAGAGGGCTCGAAGGGCCCGTCGTCGGCTTTCGGCATGACGACAACACCAGGCTTCTTTAGATTGAAACGCAGGCGAACGAGCTCATCATCTGACTGGCAGATGCTGCTGCCTTTGAAGGCGAATTGAACTGCCGGTGGTACGGTTGACTGCTGAGAAAAGCAGAGTCCTTGATCTTCCCCATCTACATCAAACATATCCAGCTCGACGATGAAGTATACGTAGAACTTGGTCGGCCTTTTCGATGTTTTTGACTTTACGCGGATTGGGAGGCGAAACCAAAAGAGAACCTCGCGCTTGGATTCCGAGATGTCAAGACCAAGGTTGAGAGTAAGATGTGATCTCCAATTAGGAGGGGAAGCAAAGCCCAGATATCTGAGCCGCCGCTCTTCACGATCATACCATTGGGTCACAACAGGCTCACTGATGAGCCAATTTTCGGCGAGATCGTCATCAGCCATGGTGCAGAAGTAGTCGAGATAGATCAAACTCTATTTAGTTATATAAGTCAGCCGGAATACTCTAGCGAAGAAACCGGCTAACAAAAACCGAGATACCACACCCATGTGTAGCATCTCCATCTGCCCATCTCCAACTGACAGACCCGGCGAATTCCATCCCAGGATGAGGCGACCCTAGAAACAGTTGAACGCAAGGATCTAGCCTCACTGGCCGGGGCAGCTCATTGGAATGGTGCAGGAACAACCAGCCTCCGCTCTGTAAGCGCTTCAGGGAGCAGTTCAAGAGGCTTAACCGAGAAGCTCGGAAAAACAACTCCAGAAATGCCAGCCTTGGCGCTATGCAGAGCGACGGGGGTTATGTCGCTGGACCCCGAGTCTTCTGAGATTACTCTCATGGATAGACCCAGCTCCGTTTATTGAGGTGCAACCAGATAGAAAGGGAGAAGCCTTGGCAGTTCAACCAGGATCCAGAGTCACAACGGCTTCGAGTCTCCAACTCGACAAGCCAAACTCGTCCATGGGTAGAGGAGACGGTTGGACTAACCAGCTAAGGCGACAACCCTGGGGGAGAACTCGGCAAACTTCCAATCAAGGTCAAAACCTTGTAGGGCTGTTTGGTGAGCTTCCAACCAAGGTCAAAACCTCAGGGGAACAAACAGTTCCAGAGCAACCGGCCAGGCTGTGTCCTACAGGAGACGATTCAGCGATACACCAAGGTCAAAACCTTAGGGATCAGCGAAGGTCCAGCTGAAGACGCAAGCCCAGATAGCCGTCCAAGAAACTGCCTGCCCAAGCGATGACAACTGTCAACAAATCAGTTGGGAGCGCAGCTATAAATAAACGGTCGCTCAGCAGACGAGGGCGGCCGATGTCGGTTGTTGGGAGACCAGGTAGACAGGGCAAATACGAGCCAAAGCAAGCCCAGCGATGCGGTAAGCTTAGACAAGACGAGCGATGGAAGTATTCGATGCCAGGGTGGGCAAGAGAGATGGGCGGCGATGGGGTGTGATGGCGGTAACAGCGACGCGGCAGCGGGGCGCGGACGATCGGTCGCGACGGCGACAAAACGACGAAGAGAACGTACCGGAGCGGGGTATGGGGGGTGCTGAGGCCGTCAGACACAAACACCGGCGATCAAGACAACGATGCGAAATGCAGGTCGATGCGATGACGTCGGTGTTGATGAAAGATGCGACCGGCGCGGTGTGGAGAGGGAGAGGAAGAGGAGCGCGAGGAAACGCGGCGCGACGTGGCTGGGAACCTGCTGACTCACGTGAGTGGTCTGTGCGCGCGGTCACGACTTTTGCTCCCTGGTGGCACCAGCGGGGAAAGTCTGCCGAGCCCAGATCAAACTCGGCTTAATTCGCCAATTTCAACCTAACGCTGCGCAAAAGTGGGTTAATTAACTTTCAATACCTCGCTTTTGCCCGCCCTCTCATCCCGCCAGGCTCAACACAACAGACCAACCTTTGTACTTGTGCGACGATAGAAAATACTTGTAACCGTTGACCTACGATCATCCCCTTACAGCCTTTGCACTGATGCTTTGCACAGCCTTCGAGGAAGCCGCGGGCTCCGAGGACTTTTTTGGATGTCCTCTCGCGGACTGGGGCCCGCGGACTCCGAAGGCTCTCACAACTTGCAATTACTGCATGTGGAAATAATACTGCGAACAGAGTTACTGCGTGTAAAAGCAAAACTGCAAACAGAGTTACTGCATGTAGAAACAATGCTGCGAATAGAACTGTAGTGATATAGTCTTGGAGTTGAGTATAAAACAACAGATTATTTGGGAGATTCCCTCGACATCATTCAGCATCATTCAGCTCACAATGGCTGGGACCTCAGCGCTCAAGATTCTCTCCTGCTCCGATGTCTCCACGACCCAACTGCTTGCAGCGGGTCTGCTCCTGGTACGTACCCTGACCCTTAGCAATATCCTTCTAAATCGTGTGTTTGGATGATAAGACTGACCCTTTAAAGACCACTGTGTGCATCACAGCCCACATGGTCTACAATATGTTCTTCCACCCGCTCGCCAAATTCCCCGGCCCTCGTCTCGCCGCGGCCACCTCCTTTGTGTACTGGTACCACTGGCTCAACGGCAATACCTTGCACTATTTCGAATCCACCCACCACGACTATGGCGAAGTCGTCCGCATCGCGCCTGACCGTCTCATCTTCATCAATCCGCAAGCTTGGAAGGACGTCTACGGCCACAAGTCGGCCAAGCACAAGACCAACCCGAAAGACCCCGCCTTCTACGCTCCGGAAGCTAACGGTGTCCATTCGTTGCTCAGCATCCAGGATGACTCGGAGCACGCCCGTGTGCGTCGTATCTTCAGCCATGCCTTCTCCGACAAGGCCCTGCGAGACCAGGGTGACATGATTCGGACCCACATCGACAAGCTGATGCGGAACATGCGGGACACCAAGGGCGAAAGCTTCGATGCTGTCGTATACTACAACTGCACCACCTTCGACGTCATGGCCGATCTGACCTTCGGTGAATCGCTCGGACTCCTGGATAATTCCGAGTACAATCAATGGTTGTCCAGTGCCTTGGGAGGTCTGAAATATGCCGCCTATGCGGCTATGCTGGATGAGTTTCCTCGTGTGAAAAGCATAGCGCAACTGTTCGTCCCGAAATCCTTAGTTGACGCCCAGATGCAATCTTTCGAGTACTCGGCGCAGCGCGTGGCCAAGAGACTGGAGAAGGGTGCCGTTACCGAACGACCGGATATCTGGAGCTTGGTTCTTGACAAGGAAGAGAGCAAGAGCTTGACCGTCGATGAAATGAACGCCACCTCGTCGCTGTTCATGCTTGCTGGTTCCGAAACCCAGGCGACGTCACTATCCGGACTCACCTACCATCTTTTGATGAACCCCGATAAGATGCGCAAGCTCGTCGACGAAATCCGGGGCGAGATTCTGAACGAGGAAGACCTGACCATTGACAATCTCCGACAGCTGAAATACTTGCAGGCCTGCTTTGATGAAGGCATGAGGAGTGAGTAATTCCCCACCGTTTCGGCTCTCCAGTCACTGACACTCTGGGCAGTCTACCCTGCAGTGCCGACCGGTCCGCCGCGTGTCACTCCGAAGGGCGGGAACACAGTTCTTGGCAGGTACATACCTGAGAATGTAAGCCGCCACAGAATCACACTAGTCATGGAGCTTCGAACTGACAGCTTCTGCTTCCTTTGCAGACCCGCATTCTCATTCCTCAGCTCGCCTCGTACCATTCTCCCAGCAATTTCACCAATCCCAAGTCGTTCGTCCCCGAGCGTTGGCTTCCTGACGAGCCGGGCTACGAAGAGTACAAGAATGACAAGAGGGAGATGTGTCAGCCTTTTTCATACGGCCCAAGGAACTGCATCGGCAAGAAGTGAGCACGAACCAGAACCCGAGGTCCCGCAGATGATGGGAAATCCATGCTGACCAACCGTTCGCAGCCTGGCATACCACGAGATGCGCCTGATCCTGGCGAAGACACTTTGGAATTTCGACCTCGAGCTGTGCCCGGAAAGCCGTGGCACATGGACGGAGCAGAAGATGTGGTGGGGTCTCTGGGAGAAGAATCCGCTAATGGTGCGTGCAACGCCGGTGAAGCGTTGAACGCACCCTTGACGTGTACAAGTTGACAGTGTCCTTGCAACTATGAGTCTTGTTCATGATGACACTCGGGGCTTCCCCGGTAGACTTATCTTTCGCCGTCAGGGGTTAGGTTGCTGTATGAATGTCTGTTGTCCGGCTTTTCACTGGCGTTAGGTTGTACATTTTGGAAGATTGATTTGCAGATGCGGCTCGGACCACGTCCCCCTAGATATACGAAGGCCCTTTTAATGACGCAATGAGTCAACAGCAGCTCCTGAAGGGAAAGTGATCGCAGTTCACGCTTGCTCAGACGACAATGCTCACCATCGAAAATCCTTCGCCGGCTTGAGGCATCCTGCAATACGCGGACATCTCCTGACGGGCGCTCCGATAAGAAACATCCAGGTTCCCACGGACCGAGCTGATGTCGAATGTCACGGTCGTGCGAGAGCGGGCCGAAGTGCATCACTGTGGGCCGCCGACCACGGAGCCGCCGGCAGCGACGTCTCTAATGTGGTCCGTGCATGTGGTCTCCCGTTGCCAGACGGGCAGCTCAACCTGCCGCTTCTGGAAGCCAGCGGCAGGCAAAACCACCAAACGGGTAGAATTCAGCCTGTGGATGGCGAGACCCTGGGCCGGCGAAAAAATCTGTAATTTCCCGAGATGTGGTGTGGTGTTGAGGAAGCACAGGCGGCCGTGCGGCGTGGCGCCCTCGATAGCTCCGAGCGTTTTCCATGGCCGCGTCTCAGCTGAGGTCATCTTGAAGTGACCCGACGTTCATCAGCGTCGGCCGATTTCTGTGGATATGCCAGATTCGGGTCACGACACTGCGCGTTTCAACAGCCCTACCGTAAAAGCCTCAACGCCTACATAAAAAGCTTGGATGCGCCAGCCCTCAAGCCACTCTCATCATCACCAACAGTCAATTCGATCTGCGACCACCACAAACCTTATCCAGTACGTCCGATCCACCCTCTACCCACCCGGCGATTCCAAATCACTAACCCTGAACCACCTCCAGACATCAACCACAATCTCCTCTTCTCAAAAATAATACCCAACCAACAAACAAAAATGGCCGCCGCTGAAGCCCGTTTCTTCACCTTCCCCCGCAACAACGACACCATCAAGTCGCAGACGATGCCGCTCGTCACGCCCGGCTGGACGGCCTTGACCGGCCGCCACTGGGACCTGACACACTCTCCCAACGTGCCGCACTTCGACCAGGGCGTGCCCGCGCTGCCGGCCGGTGTGCCCGCCGACCACCCGCAGGCCCAGGAGTACTACGCCTACGTCGAGAAGTTGGCGCCCTTCTGGCCCAGCGCCCTCGCCGTCTTCCTGCTCACCGAGCTGAAGCAGAGTGTTGGCAATGACGCGCAGTTTGCTCGCTTCAAGGCCATCGTTGAGGATGGATTGAAGGCGGGTGACTTTGCTGCTACCAACTAAAAGTTCCTGGTTTTCTAGAGGTTAGATTGGCGCAGTGTGTTGAAGGGATGTTTTACGTGTAAATAGAGTCTCATACCCTATGGCTTTCAGTAATAGAATGGTTCTACAACTCAATGGTGCATCTTTTTCGTTATTTCTGTTCTCATTGGTGAACTGGTATTAAGTAAGGAAAATATCACTTTCCTCCGCACTTAAAAATCAGGGCTTCAGCGGGTGCAAAGGTAGACGGCTTTACCAAAAATCCACATCATAAATGCAGCATCCACTTGAGTAGGCAGTTGAGTATGAGTCCCGTAGTAGTATCGGTTCTGAAGTCTTGAAAGTGCGTCCGGACATCTGCTTCTACTCACTGTAGCCGGTAATCAGTCTTACGCCGACCTCGGCGTAGGCCCCCCGGATATCTGATCTTTGAAAGCATGGCCCCCACATGAGCAGATAAGATTACGCAGGCCTTATTTACGAGAGTCAGTCTCTATTACAGATCAGCTGTCGTGATTCAATGTCTACTGCGGTATTCGGACAAACGAATTCGTAAGGGCATGTCACTTGCGCATAAAAACCCCTCACACTGACACAATCACACCTCCTATACCCCCTCCCTCCTCACCTCCTCCGCCTTCCCACCCCGCTCCCTCACGCACGCCTCCTCAAACAACCCCACCCCCACCTTCGCCTCCTTCTTCCCCGCCATGCCCTCGACCTCCTCGGGCCCGCACCCCATGCCCGCATCCCTCCCCTCCCTCTCTTCCTCGTCCACAACCAACCCCCTCGCGGCTGCAACGGCAAACCAAGCGGCCCTCAACTGGGTCATCCCCCCTGTCCCTCCTTCACCCTCCCTCCGCACGACGTCGCCGCGGCACTCGGCGTCGAGCCACACGGCGTACAGGGTCAGGGCCCAGACGGCGTGCACGATGAGCACGACGCTGGTCAGCATGGCGGAGAAGCCCCACTGGTAGGCCGGGCGGCTGGCGGCGGTGTCGGGCAGGCAGCGGCTGTTCTGCTCGACCGTGTACAGGCTGTAGCCGGTGCCGTTGTAGCACTGGGTGCGGAAGGGGTCGGAGTGGGCCATGGCCGTGTCGTAGGGGATGTTGTGGTTGGCGATGGAGAGGGTGATGGTGGCGGTGCCTGTGCGTGGGTGAGTGGGTAGGTGGATGGGGGGGGGACTGGGAAGGTAGATGCGTACAGTTGTATTGGATGTTGTCTGGGTTGTTGTATTCTGTGAGGTCGTCTTCGGGTGGATAGTAGTACGGGGAGCCCGGGTAATAAAGGCTAACACCGTTGTATGTCTCGTTGTCGAACCGTGAGCCTAGAGCCGAGAGTCAGCGGCGAGGAAAGGCAAGAGGGTCGAGGTGGGTGAAGCGTACAGTTTTGTGTTTTCGTGAGTAGTTCGTTTACTGCCGTGGCGTTTCTGGGCTGTATAATCTCGCCCGTCGCCAGATCCTTATGTGTGCCGTTCCAAAAATGCGTCACGCAGGTGTTGTTGCCTGGGATTTGTTCCCCGTCAGATTGAAATCTTATCTCTCGCTGTCGGCGAGCACTTACATATATTTCTTTGGGACATATCTCTGCGATCGGTGGGGTAAACGGAATCTGTACTCAGGCAAGTGCCGTCCTCAATTTCCGGCAATCCAGTAAACGAATAGCCATACTTGAACGAGTCGGTCGGCACGAACTGTGACGTCCCCGGCACCATTGTGAAGGGCGACGACACGCTGACATATCCGGTCATGGTCGAGAACAGCGTCGGCATGGCGAGCACGTACGTCAGTGCCACGGCGCCGTACGCGAACAACCACACGGTGCGCGCCCTATCGTGGCGGCGCAGGTCCCGCAAAAGCGAGACGACGGTCCCAAGCGACGCGCCATTCAGCGCCAGGCCGGTGAAGGTGCGGTAGGGCACGGGCGACGCCTCCAGCGCGCGCAACATGGCGTTGCAGAAAACAACGTAACTGATAATCGCAGCCAGAAATTGCATGCCGCGCGCCACGAACAGGTCCCACACCGTGTCCAGGAGCTTGGCCAGCCAGAAGGGAAAACTGCCAGCGGTGCGGTCGACGGTGAACAGGCTCTCGATGCCCGATGTGCCATCTTCTTCGACCTGGATGCCACCGCAAGTCACGGGCTTCGCGGCGAAAGGCGTGTCCAGGATGCTGAAGTAGACGGCGAGCGGCAGGATGCCAAAGACGGCGACTGTCAGGAGTGCGAAGGCGTGCCGCCTGAGCTTGCGCACTCCCTCATCGGATGCGAGCGGAAAGACGACGGCCGCTGTGGTTGCCCTCTTCAGACTTCTCGCGCTTTGGACCAAGTTGTCTTGGGTTAGGTAATCGGCTTTCCATCCTCGAGGATGCCAGTTGCGTGGTTTGTCCAGATCCGAGCTCTTCCAGGACGATTCCGAGCTCGTCGTACGTGTCACCTCGGAGTTGCCCATGTCGACTCGACTGTACGTTGAGTCGGACATGGCGGCACATCAGAGGGAGTAGAAGAGAGTCGCATGTACTCGTAACAGCCGGGGCGAAGTCAGCCATGATGTATACGTGCATGCCAATTTGGGGGCCAATGTTGTTGCTTCAGCCAAAAAAGTGGGCGGAGGATTCGCTTCACTATCGGTTAAGAAATGATTGTCGTAAAACGCTGATCGCAGCTTATTTTTGGGATTCAAAGCGGTGTATTCCGCGGAGGCATTATGTTCCGTGGCCGACTGGAGTGGCTGGTTAAAGCAAAAGTTGTTCCTGAGTGACGGGGATGAGGGCTGTATAAACCAATCAGGGGCAGCTACCAACAACATTCGCCACATCATCGCCTCAAGTACGCCTTTTAGAATGTGGGCTATTTTGTTGAAGCAAACCCATCAGTCAAGGGGGATTTGTCACTATTGAAGTTCAACATGTTAGGTAGGCTGCTCCGAGGTAGGATTTTCTCTTGTTTTTCGTGAATGCGTATCTACTTTCAAACAGCCCTTATCACACTGCCGTATAATTCAATCTTCTTACGCAAAGAAAAACCTCCTCGTCTTGAGCAGCAACCCAGCCTTCTTTTCCTCGACATTACTCATCCCCGGCAAATCTTCCCTCGTCCCACTAACCAGATCCATCTCCTCCAACCTCACCCACCTCGTCCCCTTGCCAACCTTCCACCCTGCAGCCAGTACCACGAAAACCACAATCACCACATATGCCACGACAAAGTCGGCTGCCTTGAAGGGGCTCAGGGTCTGATAGCCCTGAATCAGCACGAAAAACACATTAATCACAGCCACGAACACGGCGCCCCACGGATACCACAGCGCGCGGAACGGCAAGTCCTCGACGGCGCGGCCCTGCCTCAGCCAGGCGCGGCGGAAGCGCAGGTGCATGACGCCGATGGCAGCCCAGGCGACGAAGGTGGCAGCACCGGAGATGGTGACCAGGTACGAGAAGACCTGGCCGGCCTTGGTGCCGACGTTCATCAACGAGATCAAGCCCAGCGTGTTCGAAAACACGACAGCGCGGACGGGCACGCCCCTCGGCGTCGTGGCGGCGAAGAAGGCCGGGGCGCGGCCCAGCTTCGCGAGCGACAGCAGGGTGCGCGAGGCGATGTAGATGCTGCTGTTGATGGCCGACAGGTTCGCCGTCAGGATGACGACGTTGACCAGGTTGCCGGCGCCCGCCCAGCCCGCGCGCACGAGGGCGATGGTCCACGGCGAGAGGCCCGACTTGGACTCGGCCGTCAGGAAGGACGGGTCGTCGGCCGGGCAGATGAGCGACGCGAAGAAGACCATGCCGAGGAAGACGACGAAGATGCGCGCGAACGACTGGCGGATGGCGGCGGGCAGGTCGCGCTTGGGGGCTCTGCTCTCGCCCGCCGTCACCGCCACCATTTCCGTCCCGCAGTAGTACACGGCCGCCAGCACGAGCGTGCGCGCGAAGCCGCCGATGCCGTGCGCAAAGGGGCCCGGGTCGCGCCAGTAGCGGAAGCCAATGTAGCCCGAGCCGTCACTGATGGCGCCCGTGTTGAGCAGGATGGCCACCACGAAGCCGCCCAGCACGCACAGCACCTTCCACGACGCGAACCAGAACTCCATCTCGCCGTACGCCGTGACGGGCAGCAGCGCCGTGCACTGGAAGAAGGCCCAGCCGAGCAGGATCCACCCGTACGACGGGACGTGCGCTTGGTTCCAGAGCCCGAGCACGATGCTGAGTCCGTTGTACTCGTTGGAGAGGTTGGAGATCCACAGGTAAAAGTAGTTCCATCCCAGCGCGAAGGCAAACGCCGGGTCCAGGAAGCGGCCCGCCATCTCGGTGAAGGCCCCCGGCGTCGGGTACATGGTGCACATCTCACCGAGCGACTGCATCACGAAGAAGACGTCGATGCCGACGATGAGGAAGCAGATGAGTGCTCCGACGGGCCCTGAATAAGATAGCGCATAGCCGGTGCCGTACCATATGCTCGGTCTGTTGCTCGTCAGAAGTGATGCTCTTGTTGCTATTGAGGAACTATACTTGCCCAATCACGCCGCCCAATGCGATCATCTGCAAGTGTCTCTTCTTCAATCCTCGCTGAAGCCCGTCGTCCATCACATTTCCATTCGGTGCTGCGAGGACAGTTTTGCCTTCTCCGCTATCTGCAGCGGCCGCTACCACGGGCTCAACCGTCTTCGAATCTGCCGTTTTCTCCGCCATCGAAGCAGAATATCACAAAAGCAATGAGAGTGTGTGATGGTCGCTAACATGAAGAGGGACATCTTGGCTTTTGCTTGTGGATGAGCTGGCAATGCTTATCGCAACGCGCATCTCCGAAGCTTGTTGCGACGATAGGTAAACCTGGGCATGATCCGCACCTTGCTCCCCACTTCTGATGTCGGAGCCTTTACCCGATAAGGAACCTCACAAAACTACTCTCTAAAAAGTAGGAACGTGGAGTGAATATCCCCCGTCAAAGTCGTCAGCTTCTTCATGTTAGAATCTATGTTAAGAAGCGGCGCTCCTTTCTATAGTATTCCAGATAATCTTCTCCCCAATAAACGTGTGCTTAGAGAACCTCGCTTTGCAATAAAACTATCTACTACTTTAGCATTTTTAGATAAATGTATACATGCTAACTGTCTAGCTTATCGAGTCTTAGTACGAATAGCTTTGTGCCCTTTACTTTTCGGTTTCAACCTCTCCGGGTGTTTTCAATGTCCTACGACGATAGATGCGCGCGATAAACTTACCCGGAGTAAACCAAAACAGACGGCGCGCTTGTTTCATCCCTCTATGCCAACGATTTCCCCACAGTTCAAGATGTCCTCCATGGCGACGACGCGCTCTGGCGGTTTCAGGCGCCCATCTGGGAGGGCCCGGATACGGGTAGCACTGAGGACGGTTCGAGCGCAGAAGAGTATTTTGGAGCACTTTCGGAGCAGGTGGGCGCCAAATTGAACGCCGGCTTCGACGTCTCCATCACCGACTTCTGGGGCCGGGCACTGTCGTACCAGTTGCTGACTCCCATCATAGCCATCTTAGCCTTCTTACGTTCCAAAGACGAATATGTCTCCCTCAGAATGGTAGCAGCCGCAATCGTCGGGTAGAACAATTGCGTAAGCCCTCGGGCACCATCTGGCGGGATCAGGAGCTTCAGACTTCTCAAGACCGCTGAGGGATTCTTAGGTACACTCAGCCACGTGAACTCGCTGGTCTGGTTGTGGCCTGCGGCATCCATTCGGTAATTGTGGTCAAGTCAAAAAGATTCCGTGCCACGAAAAACATGGCACTCAGAGAGATTCTTTCTCAGTTCCGCTCGCACGGCCAGGAGAGAGACATACTCAAGGCTCGCTGGCCATTGTTGCATTGAGTCATCGAATCTGTTCTTGCTTTATTGTTGCTGAATGCTACTGCTTGAAAGGCATGTTTTCCTGTGTGGGAGAAACGGGTGAGCAGCATCGCTACCCTGTCACTGCTTACCTTATATACGGGGCACATTACATAGTTCAAGCAGATGTATAGAAAAAATGTATAAACCCAAGCGAATCGGCTCTTTGGCGACTTATTCTGGAGCTTTATATTCCTTAATCCATCTACCTTAAACGCCCTACTTCCAACACTCTACTCCCTCATCACCGGCTTCAACGTCACAAACAGATCGGGCTTATCCCACAGCGTCCACACCTTCTGATCTGCCCAGTTCTCGCTCCGAGGACTGAGCTGGAGATCAAAGTGCCAGAGCACTTTGGCGAACATGATGCGCATCTCGTGGTAGGCGAGGCTATTTTTCGGTCAGCTACCCGAATTCCCAGGCAAGAGGGCGGCTTACTTCTTTCCAAGACAGTTCCGCGGACCAGTCGAAAAGGGCTGCAACGCGTCCTTCCGGTCGGTTTCGAAACCGGAATCAGGCAGCCAGCGCTCCGGGATGAAACGTTCCGGGTCCTTGAAGTTGCGGGGCGAGCGGTACGACGCCCACTGCGGGACGGTGACGCGGGTCTATTTGTCACGTCAGCAAATGATTGAGATGATGTGTTGCGGCACGCACCCCGGCAGGAAGCCACTCCCCACACACGGGGGTCCCCTGGCCAGTCACCAGCCTCCACAAGCCAACTGGCACCGGCGGGTAGCAGCGAAAGGCCTCCTCAAAGCAGGCGTGCAGATACGGCAGCCGCTGCAGAGTCTCCAGATTCAACTCGTCCTCGCTCCCAAGCGCGCGCACCTCGCGCACCACCTTGGCCATGGCCTCCGGGTTCTTCAGCAAGTAGTAGGTCAAGCCGCTCAGCAGCGTGGCCGTCGTCTCGGTGCCGGCGATCATGAAGGCGGACGAGTTGGCGTGCATCTTGGGGCGCGTGAGCACGTCCTTGCCCTTGGAGAGCACCAGGGTCCAGAAGTCGGGCTTGTCGGTGACGTCGCCCTTTTCGAGGCGGCGCTCGACGCGGTCAACAGAGTACTGGAAGTGCATAGCCTTCTTCTCGCGGAGGGAGCGGGGGAGGAGGATGTTGGACAGGGCGCCGAAGGCCGAGTACTCGAAGCCGAAGTTCATGAGGGCGCCGGCCTTGATACCGTTGAAGATGGCCTTGACCCAGGGCGAGTACTCGGAATTGTCTAGCAGGCCGAGGGGCTCGCCGAAGGCAAGGTCGCCCATGATGTCGAAGGTGGTGCAGTTGTAGTTCTTGATCATGTCCGTCTCCTGGCCGGCGGTGGCGTAGAGGTTCTTCACAAGCTTGTCGACGTAGCCCTGGATCAGCGACTCCTGCTGCTTGAGGGCCTTGTCAGAGAAGGCGTTGGTGAAGACTTTGCGCACAGCGCTGTGCTCCCGGTCGTCCAAGATGACGGCGATGTTGCGCTCGCCGTTGTCGTCGGCCGGGTAGGATGCCGGGTCCTTCATGATGGCCTTCTTGGCAGCGGCGCCGACCTTGTGGCCGTAGATGTCTTTCCAGGCTTGCGGGTTGATGAAGCTCAGCTTGTTGGGGCCGACGCGCACCACCTCGCCGTACTGCTCGTGCATGCGATGGTACCAGTGGGCGAGGTCGCCACGAACGAGAACGTACCAGTAGACAAGTCCACTGACAGCAGCATATTTCGGACCAGGGTCTAGAGGTGGCGAGTGAGCAGGAGTGTGCGGCAAGGGGGTGTTGACACTCACACTTGCTCAGAGGGTGGAGATACAGTCTGTATATGATGAGGGCGATGATGAAGATGGGGAACTGCAAGACATGTTAGAGAGCATTCTGTACAGGAGCGCTGTGGGCGTACCGCGCAAGCCAGCACCGGCTTCGCCAGAGGTCTGATTTGGTTTTCGGGATCCATGGTGGTTGTTATCAATAAGCACTTCGCAGTGGGTTGGGTAGCTGCCAGCCCCCGAGGGAGCGTCGCGCTTTAATACGCCGGCGGACGAACAACGGACGCACAGGAGGCCGGGAGGCCGGCTCATGTTTCAGAATGCGTGGTGTTGAACAGACAGCAGGCAGGCGCGGCTGATCCCCGGGCATCGCACTCTTTCCCAAAACGGCAAGTTGCACGACTCGCCGACGGGCTCGGGATCGGGATGGCGTCGTTGCCGACCGCGCTTGCTTCCGAGCCGACCGCACCGATTTAAGCCCCTCACTCGCCTCCTGCTCCATCATCTCTTGCCGAATATGGACGCATCGCGACCCCGCTACCGAGTGCGCTTCGCCACATCCCAGGCCCCCGCGACCCCGTCCGCGCCAGCCCAGCCGCTCCGCCCCCGCCAGATCAAGGCCCGCACCGGCTGCGCCGCATGCAAGCGGCGCCGCGTCAAGTGCGATGAGACGCAGCCGCAGTGCCGCCGCTGTCTGGCCCGCGGCGAGGCGTGCAGCGGGCCGCGCCGCCTCGACCAGTGGCAGGCGACGCCGCCAGACCCAGATCTGCACTACTTCTCATCGCACATCTGCACCGGCTTCGTCTTCGAGCTGCGCACCGGCACCACGCTGCTGGCCGCCCTGCGCCCGCACATCACCCGCTCGCCCGCCCTATACCACGCCATCCACAGCCTGTGCTCCGCCCACCGCGCCCTCTCGTCGCCGTCCGCCCGCTCTCTCTCGCTCCAAGACCGCACCAACGCCGTCGCCGCCCTAGCCGCCGAGCTCCGCCTTCACCTGGCCGGCCCATCGACGCCGTCCTCCATCTTCCGCGTCCACTGCCTCGCCTTCGGCGCCGCCGTCCTCGCCGTATCAACCCAATGGCTCGACCCCTCGGGCCGCGACTGCGGCCTGCAGCACCTTCGCGGCGCCAACGCGGCGCTGGACGTCGTGCTGCAGCACTGCCAGCACCACCACCAAGAGCCACCCGCCGACGTCGCCAAAAAGGGCATCGCCGCGTCGGCCGCCATGTCCGTATACCTGATCGGGCTCTACGTCTACCTCGACATGACGCACTCTTTCCTGGCGCCCGCCGCCCACGCCCTGCCGCTGAGCCCGGCCCTGAGAATGGAGATGGCCCGGGAACGGTGGCGGAGTGCGAAGTGTATGCATCCCATCACCCGGGCAGCCACCTCCCTCTGCTTCGTCGTCGCCCGCGTAGGCCGCTACTACCGTCGCGTTGTCGACCGGAGGGGGAGGGACTTGGAGCTGGAGAGTGAGTTGGAGCGGCATCTGGTGCGGTGGCAGCCGTTGGATGTTGGTGACGACGTGGTTGAGGCGGACCTGCGCTTCGTCGACGCTGTGAGGATTCTGGGGCTCGTGATGCTGGAGCAGGCGAGGAGGGTAGGGCGAAGGTATACGGCCGAGGAGAGGGAAAGCACTCTTTTCGACGCCGAGGCCAAGTATGGTGACTACTGGCGCCGCATAGACATCCTAACCGCCTACGCCAGCACCCTCTTACACAACGGCATCCTACGCCCCTTCCTGCACCCGCAGTTCGAGGGCGTGTTCCTACTAGCCGTTGGACCCGAGCTCGACGCCCCTTCGGCGAGGCAGCTAGTCGAGGAGGGTTGGGCGTCGCTGCGTAAGAGAAGCCGTATGCCGCACCATCTACTCGGGCGCGAGCTGGTGCGTGAGTGCTGGCGGCGGAGAGATAGCGGGAGTAAGGAGACGTGGCTGGAGGTTATGGTGGAGAAGGGGTTGGCGTTAATGGTGGGATAAGTAGAGGATATAACCCGGGTCGCAATTGGGTTATAGAACGATTCAAATGCGACCCTCCTACATTGTCAACGATGCCACCGCCGAGAGTCTGGTTGCTCTCTTCGAGAACTAAGGTGCGTATAAGGCCGTCTTTACGGCCTTAATCGACGGATAGATAAAGCTTTTTTACATGTATATACTGTTTAAATATAACGATTTTACGCGCTAATTTAATCGTAAAATATCTATCTTCTAGATAATAATAATAATAATAATAATAATAACGATATATACTATCTTTTAAATAATAAGCTATATCTATAAATAGCTAAATATATTAATAGAGATATTACTAAATATAGAGTAAATTATTAAAAGTAACTCTATTTAATAAAAAAATTTAAATATAATACTATAAATTTAAAAGCGACTCTTTTAATAATATAAATTAATATTTTTATATAATATATATTTATTTCTTAGTATAATTATTATTTATATACTTAAATAATACTATTAAAATAAAAAAGTACTATAATTTAATTTTTTTAAAGTTTTATAGCTAGTAAATTACTAAATAAAGTAATTACTAAATAGTATATATAAAACTAAATAGTATATTTTTAAAAATATTTTTGTAAAATCTTAACGTTTCTATATAGATATTAAATATTTATATTATAAATAATATTTTTTAATATCTTTACTATAATAAAAATAAAAAATAAATTAAATTTAAGTCTTAATTATATTTT